GTGTTTTTGTTATTTCCACACTCACGTGGGTCCTGTGCCCCTAACCCTAGCAAATGTGGAAGGACTGCTGTATTTTTCTTATTGGGATTATATTTGTGTATATAATCACCAGACTATAAATATCTGTCTAAGCTGTATTTTTAATTATTTTGAAAGAATAAAAATATTTTTAAATTTTTTTTAAAAAATGGGATCAATGGCACAGAATCTTATTATCTTGAATTTCTTGTCCACAGGGCTACATGCTAATAGCGACAGACCTGCATTTTCAGCTCCCTCCGATGTCCACCTCAAGGCCAAGTACGGCAGAGTCTCCTTCCGTAACGGACACCTGGGTAGTGATCGAATGACTTATGATGGGGCTGAGAAGAGCTAGGACCGCATGGGACCGCATGGGACTCCCTTTTGCTAGCACATCTCTTGCGGCCGCTTCTGCGACATTCACTCAGCAACACGGAGATGCTAAAGAAATGTGACTTTCTCTGTCTCCAAACAAAAAGGCAAAACCTGGTCCTACGTGAGTGACCGCATTGATTTCACAGAGACATATAGGACAATGCCTGTGACATTACCACCACCAAAAAGCACGCACCACCTCCTAACTTTCCTAAATACTACACTTCAGGAATGCTACAAATCTCACCTTCCCCTCTCCCAATATTTACTGAGGACAATGGATTCCAGTGCAGAAGCATACATCTTTGGAAGTCTTCAAACAGAGGCTGGATGGCCATCTGTCGGAATGCTTTGATTTTGAGTTCCTGCATGGCAGGGGGGTTGGACTGGATGGCCCTTGGGGGGTCTCTTCCAACTCTATGATTCTATGATCTTTTAACAATTGTTTTAAAGGAGGGGAAGGGTTTTCCCTAGTTTTGCTGTGACTTTTGAATTGAGCTCCCCTTCTAAACATATCCAGTCTTGTTCTAGGTCTGTAGCTGTAGGATGATTGCATAAATGTCCTTTTGTGTTGTTGCAGCTGTGTAGACCACTGGTCTATCAGAGGATTTGGCAATATCCTGCTACTCCAACGTGGAATTAGAAAAATCACACTCTTGCAACAAAATGCAATGATAAAATGGTAGGATGGTGCTTCTGCCCAGCATTACAGTTGCCCAGCCTTTTCCTCCACATCCCCTTCTGTTCCCTCCCTAGTTTTCTGGGATTGCATCCACACTGCAGAAATAATCTGACTTGACTCCACTTTAATTGCTGTGGCTCAGTGCAGATAGAATTCTGGGAACTGTAGTTTGTTGTCGCAGTCCAACAACATCTGGCGGCCCCACTTCTGATTTAGAGTCTAGATTTTAGAGGAGGGATTTTAGAGCCCAGTCTTGCTCTACTGGAGGACCCAATGAGCACAACTTGCCTTCCTTATTCAGAATGGAGGTGTGTACCTCTTCTATTGTATTATATATAATGTGTTTAATAAAGTTTACTTTTTTAAAAAAAATGCACTTCATTTATTTTTGTAAAGTGTACCCTCTGGCTGGAGAGGGATGCATTTCCCTGACTGATCCATCTTCCTCAAGTCTGTCTGTCTGTCTGCAATTCTCTCCAGATGTGTTGGGCTACAACTCCCAGTTAGCTGTGGGATTCTGGAAGCTGTAGTGCAACATAGTTGGAAGAGGCCAGGTTAGAGGGAATGGTTCTAGACAGCGGGAAGGGGTCAATGTTGAAAGTTTCTGATGCATCCCATATAAGCCTTCCCAAAATCTCACATCCTCAGTGAATGCCCTGTCGCATGCCACTCCGTGGGGCTTAGGCTCCATGTGCCAAGGCTTTCTCTACCACAATTGTGGAATTGCAAGTATTGTCAGGTTTCCTTTGGCTATCGTGATGCTGTTGCCTGAATTGCTCCACATTAATTGTATAGGGGAATTAATTAATTAGCTCAAGGGAGCAGTGAGAAGGCTTTTCAGCAAGTTTAAAAGGCAGGGGGTCCTTTGCCTCTGTCTACTGGTTCCAAGAACTAGATTCCAGAATGCAAGTTAAAATGTATTTTTTATCAATGCAGCAAAAGGGATTACAACATTCACACAAAGCACACACTCACACATGAGCTAACAAATTAAAGGTAGGTTAAATGGGATGGAGATTAGAAGGATGGGGGCATAAATCACCAATACAGAGGCCAGATGTCCAGATCAGAGGAGAAAGTGGACTCAGAGCGCTAGCAATTCAGAGGAGTCTAGTTAAAATCATGGCTTCTGATTTCACCCAAGATTGAAAACAAAGAACAAACAGCCCTCCTTTATATATATATTTTTTTCACCTTGTGAGCAGATTTTTGGATAGCTTAGGCAGAAATTTCCACAGGGGATGAAAGAGCAAAAGTGTAGCCATCCTAAACAAAGAAGTGGCAGATGCACATGGCTTGTCTCTTTGATGCCCAGATGGAGACAAATGGCAGAGCTCTGAAATTGGAGGAACCGATTTGAATGTCAAAGGATACCTTTGTGTCCTTAGTGCTTTCTGTCCGAATCACACCAGGCACTTTCCATCCAGGCCTGTGTGGCAAGGTACCCCTTTCAGGATGGAGTTTGGTACCAAAGTGACAAAGATACAAAGATACAAAAGAGGCTAATGCCTGGGAACAGAATCAGGGCAAGACCAAATTACTTCTCTCATTCAGTATCATTCAATTAGCTCCGGCAATGAACAATCTGATAAGCAGAATGCCTCCTTACTTCCATGTGTCCATCATCATCATCATCATCATCATCATCATCATCATCATCATTATCATCATCGCACCACTGTGGTACATGGCACTTTACAACAGAATAAAACATTTATAGCCACTTCAATATACAATGCTAAAACGCAGGAGTAGAATGCAAGACTAAAATACAATAGTAAAAATGCAATAGTAAAATACAATACAGTGCAAAAAAAGAAAGCTATGCACGCAAACACGAAAACAGCAGAATAAAACAGATAATAGCAGCTGCACATGGGATAGATTGTACCCAGGTTTCGTTACTTCTAGTAGGGCTCAACCTCAGACGTAGGATATTTCTTTAAGGGCTTCAATTATGTTTTACCTGGTTGTCGGTTCCTAAACTTTGGTCCTCCAGATTTTTCTGGACTTCAGTTCCCAGAATTCCTGACTGTTGGCTAAGCTGGGTGGGCTTCTGGGAGCTGAAGTCCAAAAACCAAAGGACCAAAATTTGGGAACCTCTGAATTTGGGACAAGTCTTGAGGCTTCCCTGCCTCCCTCTTTTTGTGGGGTCTGTGGGATTGATTTTAAACCAACTGCCTTGTGAAATAAAGGCAGTAAAAATAAAGACAAGAGCTCTCTGAGCATGTATGGAATGGATTTCCTTCCCAGATAGGAAATCACAACCAATACTTGCAGTCCATGAAGCATGTGAGGCTTGTAACTCAGAGGGCTGAGTCTCTATCATCATTTGTGTTTTGGCATCATCTTAATATATCTCGATCGATTGATTGATCGATCTCCTTTGATCCTGTGTCCTTATAGACCTCAGTTTCCCATTCTGTCAAATGGACACAAAAAAGGTTTCCTACATTAATGATCTTGATAAAGGCTACAAGTGCTTGGCAGACAGACTACAAGAGTCCGACTGTCAAGTCCAGCAGCATACCAAGTTCAGAAAAACAGTACTAAAAACTCAGGAAAACTTTATTAAAAAACCTATAGATCCCATCCAGGACGTTCATTGTCAGAACTGACCAGCAAATGTTAAAATTGCCTGATTAAACTATACAGATTTCAAATTCCAAGTGGGCTTAATTTTTATTTGTTGTGCTTAGGAAGCACATTTTCCCCTCTTGTTCCAATATTATCTCTTTCAAAGTTGTTACAAACACATTTGAAAAACTCAAACAGCCTTGAAACACAAACAGCCTTGATTCATTCTTGCCTCCTTCTCTCAGCACCAGAGTCTGAGATCTCCAAGTCTCAGCCATCTCCTTTTCTACTGTATAACCCATCATAC